CAAGTGGATTAATCCACTATTAGTCTACACCAGGGAGCAGAGAGAGCTCTGCTCACCAGGGACAGGACAGAGACCCCAAAGGCACAGCCCAGGGACCCCCTCATCCAGCAACACCCCACCTGCTGCAGCCACCACCCAGTGAGTCCATCCAAGTGGATTAATCCACTTTGAAGCTATACCTCTCATAACTCTGTCATTACAACACTGAAGCACAGGAGATTTGGGGGGTCATCTCCACTTAACCCATAGCATCCATACAGACAGGAAGTAGATTATGGGGGGCTCTGGGAAGAAGGACAGGTCATGCTGCCCCCTGGTTCCTGTTCTCCGGCCACTTCCTACCAAGGGAATGCCAGACAGCTTTTCCAACGGAACTTCCAGTAGACACTCGGGTCCTTGGAAGGACTCTGGCCACTGGACACCTGGGATGTGTGTCCAATCTTGTCTGCTCTGTGAAGACTCCAACCCCCTGCTGCCCCCACACGCCCACCTGCGCCCACACCTGAGTCACAGAGCAAGGTTGCACCTTGAGCACTCCCTACCTGATACCCGCATCCAAGAATTCTGACCTCCCAAGGCTCCGGATGTTCCCGTGTGCACCGTGGGGTGATCTGGGTGCCCAGAGGGACCGGCACCTCTTCTGGTACTAGTGGGCACTCAGCTGATGTTTGCAGCGTGAACAATGAAGACCTGCCGTGCCAAGGCTCGCGGCTCCTGTCCTGGGTGCTGTCGTGCCTGCAGGCCGTCTGTGGGCACCGACACAGCCCCTGGGCAGCTGGTGGACAGTCCCCATTCCTCACGGCTTTGCAGTTTCTCCTCGTGGTTTCTTTTGAACGGGGACGTGGACGCCCTTTGTCCGAGCAGCCGGTGACTCTTGGAGGCTCACTGACCCTGTCTTCTCTCTTTGTTCGCAGAACCGACCCCGAAGCCAGGCTCAGGTGAGTGGCCGGGCGTCACGGGGGAGGGGCCGCACCCTGGGCTGGAGGCTTTGGCAGCGATGGGTGTGGACGCTTTGTAGGGCTGTTGTAGGGTGTGGGGGGACTGGTCCGTAGACGTCACAAGCAAACGCAGGTCACCGGGCAAATGCAAATCAAAACAGCCACCGTGAGAAGCTCCATCGTGTTCACTAGGAGGGTTAGGATTTTAGAAATGGACGATATCAGGTGTCGAGAACCCTGCAGGCCGTGTACGTAGAAGCACGATTCGGTAAAGCCAAAAGGTGGGCATGGGGTCCATCAAACGATGAATGGACGCACACGATCTGGTCCGTCCGCGCTGTGGAATATGACTAGGCCATGAAAAAGGAACAAGGTGGCCCATGCACCCTGGAATATTACTGAGCCATGCAAAGGGATGAAGCCGCGACACCAGCTACAACATGAACATCAGCTTCTCGGGTGACAAAGGCCAGACCCCAAAGGGCACAGAGCCCAGGATCCTGTTTATATAAAAATGACCAGAATCGAGAAATCCAAAGAGATGGGAAGTGGGTGACTAGAGGCTTGGGAGGCTGAGGCAGGAGGATGGCGAGTTCAAAGCCAGCCTCCGCCAAAGCGAGGCCCTAAGCAGCTCAGGGAGACCCTGTCTCTCAATAAAATGCAAAATAGGGCTGGGGAGGGGGCTCAGGGGTCGAGTGCCCCTGGGTTCAGTCCCTGGTACCCCCCCCCAACCCGCCAAAAAAGGGTCACCATTGCCCGCCCGCCCTGCAGTTCCTGAGCCTACCACTGGGGGCGGTAGCGAGCCGCTCAGGTCGGTCTCAATGACAATTGGCGGATGCATCGCGTTCTCTTTGGCGCGCTTTGGGGACACAGGGCTGGTTCCCGCCCTGGGGACAGTGCGTGTCCTGGTCCATCCAGCTCCTGAGCAGCTCAGAGAGCCAGTCAAAAAGGACGATGCCAAATAATCCTGGGCGCCACTGTGTCACTCAGCCAGCGACAGTTGGGGACACCTGCCTTGGGCCCCAGAGGGCGTATGTCGAGGACCAAAATGATGTAGGGGACTGACCAACGAGACCAGGGACCTCCTCCTCCGGCCACACCCCGCCTGCTGCAGTCACCACCCAGTGAGCCCATCCAAGTGGATTAATCCACTATGAGTCTACACCCAGTGAGCCCATCCAAGTGGATTAATCCACTATGAGTCTACACCTCTGTAAGGTGGTCATGTCACCTCTGAACCTTCCGGCTTGGTCTCACCCGTGACCTTTGGGGACGTCGCCTATCTGGACGGTAGCGGGACATGCCCAACAACTGTGTAAAGAAATACGGAAAAGAGGGCGAGTGTCACCCGAACTTGGAGCCCCGGGCAGGACTGTTAGATGGGGACAGGCGTGACCCAGAAGTGGATTAATCCACTTGGATGGACTCACTGGGTGTAGACTAATAAGTGGATTAATCCACTTGGATGGACTCACTGGGTGTAGACTAATAAGTGGATTAATCCACTTGGATGGACTCACTGGGTGTAGACTCATAGTGGATTAATCCACTTGGATGGACTCACTGGGTGTAGACTCATAGTGGATTAATCCACTTGGATGGACTCACTGGGTGGTGACCGCAGCAGGTGGGGTGCAGCTGGAGGAGGGGATCCCTGGGCTGAGCTCCATCTCAGAAACACACACAAAAAAATTTTAAATTAAATAAATTCACGGAGGAGAGAGAAGGAGAGACCCGTGTGGACACCCGGGAAGGGACTCTGAGTGGACTGTGTCTGGGGACTTGGGAACCGTCCTCAAGGCAAAGAAAACAGGGCAAGAAACCAGGAAGCAGGGTCAGGGCCGGGCGGTGGGCTGCTCCTGAGTTGCTTAGAGCCTCGCGCTAAATGGCTGAGGCTGGCCTCCAACGTGCCATCCTCCTGCCTCAGCCTCCCGAGCCCCTGGGAAGACAGGCGTGGGCCTTGGCACCCGGCCTGAGGTGTGTGTCCTGCAGAAGGGTCATAGAAGGATTTGGGGGGTCTTCTAAGCCTGCACCCTTGTTCCCACAGATATCTACCCCAAGCCCAGGCCCCCTCACGGCCCCCAGCCTGCAAACCCCGACAGCGGAGGCAGTAAGTTCGGGTCCTTTCCTAACACCTGGGGCCGGTTCTTCTCCTTCCCAGCTCTGGCCACTTGCCCTGGGGCTCTCCCTGCGCAGGACCCGTCAGAGCCACGGGGTCTGGACGCTGGCCCTTCCCCTCCCCGAGTGACTCACCAGCCCGAGGGCTTGGCCGAGGTCCCAGCTCGGGTGTGGCCCTGTGTGACTCAGAGCTGGATGTTCCCATTCCTGCCTCCGCGCACAGGAAGGCGGCGGCTCCCTGGCTCCCGTTCCGGGGTTTGAATCTAGCGTGCAGAGCTGGACGGTTAATTTGCAGCCCCCCGTGGCCGGTATCCAAGAGGGTGTGTCCAGAGGTCCTTGACCCCAGCCAGAGCCACAGAGGCATCAGGCAGATAGATTTCCACCGAAAGAACACCCCATGCAAAGGTCCTGGGGTGGGCAGCTGGTGGTGTGCAAAGGTCCTGGGGTGAGCGTGTCACACTTTCCCTGAAATCCCCGCGCTCTCTTCCTGCAGATATCTACCCAAGGCCGAAACCCCAGCCTCGCCCACAGCCTGGGAGCTCCGATAACAGCGGAGGAGGTAAGGACCTTGAGTCCCGTTCCGATTCCGGAGGCGACTGATCCGGGAGCACTTGAAACTCCACACGCAGCAGCGCTCCTTGGTGAATTCCCCTCTGGAAGAGTTTCACAGCGGGCTACTTGGGTTGCTGGCCAGCACCCGGGGATTGCATGACATATAGGTCCGTCTGGCTTTGCCCGTGTCACGTGGTGGCATATAGTGGCTTTTTATTAATGTATGCACTGAACAAACAAAGGAGTAAGAGCGACCTTCCTCCTGGTTCTCAACGGGAGCATCTCCTGTTTCTGAACCCTTCTGTTATAGTCTCTGTTACTATAACGAAATAGCCCAGGCTGGCTGCCTTTATAAAGAAGAAAGGTTCATTCAGCCCAGTGTTGGGGGCCGATGGTCTAAACAGCTGGTCCAGCTTGGGCTTGCTGGGTGGGAGAGGGAGGTCATTTTGGACCTGAAAGAGGAGAAGGGTCTGGGGCCGTGAGGAGCAGGGGCTGAGGCTGGAGACCCCTCCAGGGCCGAGGTGAGGGTCAGGGGGCTGCATCGGCCATTGGAGGCCCCGCCAACCAGGGGCGGGAGGACAGAGAGGGTGGCGCCTGGGCAGAGAGGGGGCACAGCATCCTGATGGGAGACTCTGAGCAGGACGGGCCCCAGGACCCTTGCACGGGCCCTCCCAGGTGACAGCAAGGCAGGCCCCTCTGGTTGCAGAGTGCAGTTCCCGCAGGCTGCTGGCCAGTGTCCCTGTCTGCCCACAGGACACCCAGCAGATGTGTCTGGGGGGTCCCTGGGGGTCCTGGAAAGAGCTGCTGCGTGCACAGGGCTTGTCCCCAACAAAGGCCCCCGTCCTGTGGGTCCGGCAGGGGTGTGTGGGCGGGACGTGGGCCTCACGCTGTGCCTCTGCCCCACAGGGTACCATCACAACGACGATGATGGACGCTACCCGCCCAGGCCCAGGCCGCCCGCAGGTACGTAGGGGCAGAGCCGCTTTGAGCCTCAGGTGTGCCCAGAGAGGGAGGGTGGGGACAGAGCCCATGAGGAGGCAGGTCACACCTGCAGGACACAAACAGGGTCTGTCCATCCCTGCGTCGGGGGCTTGTGCACCAATCCACCTCTCAAGACCTGTGCTCACGCCAGGCACCAAGGTGCATCCCTGGGACTCGGGAGGCTGAGGCTGGAAGACCGCAAGTTGGAGGCCGGCCTCAGCAACTTAGCAAAGCTCTAAGCGACTCAGTGAGACCCCGTCTCAAAATAAAAACTCCAAAGGGCTGCGGGTGTGGCTCAGAGGTTAAGCTCCCCTGGGTGCAGTGCCCAGGACGGAAGGAAAAGAAAATCATGGTCATTTTCAGGTAAAATGACCTCCCTGTGGCTATACAGAAGGGGGTTAATATATGCCTGTCTGTGTAGACCTTCCTGTGTATACAAATGGATAGAACTTTGTGCAGATAGACCATCTTTCTGTATAGGTCTGTGAATCTTTCTGCATTCTGCATGCACAGAGCTGCCCTTATGCACACATATATCCTGTCTGTGCGTACATTTTATATGCGTACGGACCTTTATGTGTCTATCATATGCTCATGCACATTTACATCACATTTGCATATAATATCCATATGCAAATATATGCATGATATCCGCACATGGTATTTATATGTAAATATATGCATGATATTTGCATACAGTGTTTATATGTAAATATATGCATGGTGTTTGCATATGATATTTATATGTACATGTATGTGTGGTATTTGCATATGATATTTATATGCAAATATATGCATGATATTTGCATATAGTGTTTATATGCAAATATATGCATGATATCCGCACATGATATTTATATGTAAATATATGCATGATATTTGCATACAATGTTTATATGTAAATATGGGCATGGTGTTTGCATATGATATTTATATGTACACGAATGTGTGATATTTGCGTATGATATTTATATGCAAATATGTCGGAGACCAGCTCCAACAGGGGGTCTCAGGAGACGAACGGATGGTGAGGAGTCGGCGAAAGAGGGGGTGGAGAAACAACACAGACACCAAAGTGAAGGTGTTGATCCCAATCTTTACTTGTGAAGTTGATC